TAATTTATTTTTTTGTGAAATATATCCATTTTATTTATTTCTTTTATCACTTGATTATTGGATTTGTTTTATTTAACTTATTTATTTTATTTATTGATAAATTTATTATTTATGTATGTTTTATTTTCAATTTTTTTACAGTTACAATATCAATTCCAACAAGTTCATTCAATTTCAATTCAATCATCTCAAGACTTAAATTCATTTAGAAGACATCTATAGCAATATCATACTTAAAGAAATATTTCCAATCAGCTATTTCACTTGCATTGCTTTGGCTATTGCGCCATCAAAAATTGATGAAACCTTGGCAGAATATCGTTCGTTAGAATTTATGTGTAGTACTTGAAAATTGCATGCATAGTTAAGCGTTATTCGCTGCTATAACATATAACTTGGCCAATCTCGTGTGCTCCTATGCTCCAGCTCGTAAGCTTTTTAATAAATCCTCACGATTATAGCATTTGAGCAACAACAACAACAACAACAACTGTGGGCCATGCACGATGCATGCAGCCAGGAGCTAACTGGGCTAGCAGTAAAAGTTAACGTTAGAAGAGAGAAGAGGAGAGAGGTAGGAGGAGGGAGGAGAAGCGGGTAGAGCAGAGATCATAAAAGGCAGCCAAGTTACCTTCGATAGAGCAGGCAAAGATAGGTTTACGACTAACGAGGGAGAGTGAGAAAAAGAGAGTGAGAAAGAGAGAGATGAGGGAGGGAAACCCTAAAAAATGGCGAATTAACAGCTAAAACTAAATGGCGCTCGCTTTATTCACTAATTGCAGATATAACCAGCTCGCTGACAATGACCGAGGTGAAGATACCCAATCACATAATGCGGCTGAAGAGCGCGCTGCTCGGCTGCCGCTATTCCCTGGACGGCGAGTCGCTCTACTCGGTCAAATGGTATAAGGATGGCCACGAGATCTACCGCTATGTGCCGCGCGACAAGCCACCTGGACAGGCGTTTCCGCTGCCTGGCGTCAACATCGATGTGAGTACCCACCTAAACCCACCCCCGCCAAGCCCAACCCCTCAACAGGTGCAGCTGTGGCAAAAAAATTTAATTTCAAATTTTATTTCGGCTAGAAGGGGCAAAGATGTTGCCCCGAAATTTACTGTTACGGCCGACTCATAATGATTATTTGCAAAGAGCCTGTAATTGCCCGAGCAACAGCAGCAACAACAACTACAGTAATAACAACAACATCTTGTTGCAATGTAGTTGCCTTTGCCACGTAGTTTTGCCATTTAACTTTAATTTAATGTTGATGTAATTTTTTGTTAGCCATAAAAATGTTTGCTGCTCTCCCTCCCCTATCACTCGCGCACCTTCTGCTCTGTGTGTGTGTGTGCTGGGTTAGCTTAGGTCACGTTGCGGTCTGAGCTCTTCAACGTACATTGTACACGTCACTCAATTTCAATTGCGATTGAAAAGGTTGCCGAGGCCAAAATCACTTAAAGCTGCCAATCCTCAATGCTCAGTGCTCAAACGCCCGTCTCTAATAATAATAATAATAATTTGCTAAAGCACTTAAGTGCGTCTACTTTGTGTGGCATTTTGTTGACAGCACAACACGCCCCGCCCCACTCCCGGCCCATGCCCCATGCATCGGCGAACTGAAACAAGTAAGCGTGATTCAGTCAAAACTGCTCGACTAGGGAATACCCTGACTATTGCGAAGAGCTGATATTTCAATTGCTCTTTTTTTCTTTTATACGCATAGAAATGCATTGTGCCAACTGCGCTTGGCCTCTGCTTGAGCTCTGCCTGGGCTGCACTTGGATTGCAATCGGTGTCTGCTTGGGCTCTGTTTAGGCTGAGCTCTGCTTGAGCTCTGCTTGAGCTCTGCTTGAGCTCTGCTTGAGCTCTGCTTGAGCTCTGCTTGGGCTCTGCTTGAGCTCTGCTTGAGCTCAGCTTGGGCTCTGCTTCGGATGAGTTAGGACTGCTATTGGGCTCTGAGATCTGTTTAAGCTGCACTTGGCCTCTGGCAGGGCTCAGCTTGGGCTCTGCTTTGGTTCTGCTTCGGCTATACCCTCGCTGAGTTTGAACTGCGATTGGTCTTTGCTTCGGCTCTCCTTAAGCTACGCTTGGCCTCTGCTGGGGGTCAACTTGAACTCTGCTTGGGCTCTGCTTGAGGTGACCTTCGGCTCCGTTTGGGCAGCGCTGTGGTCTACTTGGGCTGCCCTCAGGCTCTGTTTGGGCTCTGCTCGAGCTGAGCTTTGGCTGTGCTAATGGGTTCTACTTCATCAACTTATTTATCAAAAAACTTTTTTTTTTCTAGTATTTGAATTGTATATGTTACGAATCTGAAGGGAACACTTAGACAAACATGTTTAGCTTCTCTCAGTTCCTTCTCCTGCTCAGGAACATCTATATTTTACGACCTCTGCCACGCCTCCTTCTGCCTGTTACATACAGTTCCATATAATCAATATACCCTTCCATTCTATTTGCCTTAGTTAGCAAAAAGGCAAAGCAAAGCCGTGAGCAATTGACGTATGGCTAACGCGGCGTATGAGCAATGCCAGCGCGACTTATTTTTTATGGCCTGTGCGTGCCTTGGCCGGCTGCTCGGCCTGCTGCTTGGCCTGTGCGTAATGCGTAGGCGTGAATGTCTACATTTAGACATGAAAGAGTTGTGTCCTTGTGTGTGTGTATGTGTGTGAGTGTGTGTGTGTGTGTATGTGTCACAGATATTTATGTTCGTCTGCGTGATTGGCACAAAGGCTCGGCTGGCAGTTAAGCGACTTCGATTTGTGGCTTGCTTAAGATAATTGCTGATACTTCAAATGAGCTTAAATAGTATATGAGGAGACATTTGTGTGTGTGTGTGTGTGTGTGTGCAGCTAGCAATCCAATTAACGCGGCTCGCTCAGCTTTGATGACCGGGCACGGCTTTAAAGTTGCTCTCAACTACAATGTAAGTGGATCTAGATTTGTTGCAGTTTCTCCTGGTTCCCTCTCAACAGGTACGTCGCATTAGCGCCTAAATAGTTCTGCCACCTGCATAAAAGAGTCCTAAACTGCGCGAACGGGTTGCGAGCATCACAATAAATTGTTCGCATTGCATTTCGTGGCAGCCATCATAAACAAAATGGCAATGCGCACGTATCAAGGGGAATGCAATAAATGCGATGGCGCTTCATAGCCCGCCCTCGCCCGCTCACGCCGCTCGTTGGCCGTCGACAATTTGAATTGTGGCCAGGCCGCCTCCTGCTCGACTCATGTTTGTGTAGCGGGCGCTGACAACTGGAGCGCTCATAGGAATTGGCTTGGAAGAGTTGGCTTCTATCTGGCGCTCAGTTCGCTCGCCTTTGGGTCGGAATCGGCTTAAGCACTAGAAAAGAAACAAACAAAAGCCAGTTCGCCGTCATTGTAACGGGGCAATGGAGGAGCGGAGCAGCAGGGAGAGCAGCTCAAGCAAGCAACAAACCAAAAATAATGTTGAACGTGACTTTTGTGATTGTTTGCAGCAGCAGCAGCAGCAGCCCGAACAGAACAGAGCAGAACAGAACAAAGCAGAGCAGAGCTGGCCAAGGAGAAGAGTCAAGAATTTTCATAAAAATTTGCTCGACAAGTTTTTCGGGTAGAATGGAAAGAAATGAAAACTTTGCCAAGCACTTTTGACTATGTGTACGTGTGTGCGCGTGTGCGTGTGTGTATGTGTGTGTGATAATAAAACTGCAACTTAAAGAACTTGACTGCAATTGTTTCTGGCAAAGATGTTGAGTGACTTTTACAACATCCACTACTTCAGCTCACCGCTCACATCTCACATCATCCCCACCTTCACTTCCATTTTCCACTTACATTCTCATGCGTTCAGCACTGCTTGCGTATGTAATCATCAAGTGGAGAATGTTGCGATTGTTTCTAGACATTTCATTGCTTGTTTTGGCTCTCGCTTATGACTTGTGCTTTTTCCATTGCTCTGCGTCTTGACCAAAATTACATTTGAGGCGTCGCGACGCCCGCAGCCCTCACCCCACAGGCTCTTAGACCTTAGACTAATAATGAATATACTTCGTTGGCCACTCTGCTGCATTTTTCTTTTTGTTCTTCTTCTTCTCTTCTTGTTTTTCTATTTTGAGCTACACAAATCATCATCAATCTTAATTTTTCACTCAGCGACAGCCGAGAATGTGAAAATCTGTAAATCTAATTGCCTTCACTTTGGGCTGCCTTGCCGAGTCATGGCTTTGTAATTTATTTGAATTTCCATTTGCCAAAAAAAAAAATATATATATATTTAACAAACATTTCTCACTCTCTCCCTCTCTCTCTCTGTCTCTTTCTCTTTGCAGTTGCGCAACTCCTCGGATACGCAGGTAATGCTACGACGCGTAACGCTCCAAAGTTCTGGCGTCTATCGCTGCGAGGTCTCCGGCGAGGCGCCCGCCTTCAACACCGTCTCCGAGTCGGAGACAATGACCGTTGTGGGTAAGTTGCCATCGCTATTGAACACTGTTTTAAAATATCTGCACTCCCTCCCTCTCTCCTACTCTCTCTCTCTCTCTCTCTATCTATCAATGTGAAACAACAAAAATTTAATTAAAAAGCTAATGGTTCACAGCAGTCAACAATGTTGTTGAGTAAGAGCTGCAAGTGAACTCGCTACTCCTGCTGCTGCTGTTCAAGCAACTGCAAGAGATGTGCAACATAATTGTCATAAAATAAATAAATAAATAAACAAAAATTAATAAAATGTAAGTGTGTCAATAAACGACTAATASATACTGTCTAAGCAAAGCTCTTGCTTTTAATTATAAAAATAATTTTCAGATTACCCACTCGGGCTGAAAACTCAAAGTGTAAACTATGAATTTAAAAAAAATCTCCTTTGAAATAATTAAATAAAATGTATTGTAAAAGTATAAAACATTTTACATCATAATAAACCATTATGAAATAAATTTTATT